TCTACAAGCGAGAAGAGAGTGGAAGCCTATCTTCAGCATTCTTAAAGAAAAAATATTTCCTGGGGAGTTGGAGAGGGATAACAAGGGGAGAAATGCCAGATATAGGTGATAGGGAGGAAGGCAGAAAACCACACTGTTATGTGTGTACTTATGCAACAATCTTACATGTTCTTCACATGTACCCCAAAACCTAAAATGCAATTAAAAAAAAAAGAAAGAAAAAATATTTTCAACCAAGAATTTCACATCCAGGTAAACTAAGTTGCATAAACGAAGGATAAATAAGATCCTTTTCAGATAAGCAAATGCTGAGGGAGTTTTTTTCTTTTACCACCAGACATACCTTACAAGAGGTCCTGAAAGATACACTAAATATGGAAAGGAAAGACTGTTACCAGTCACTACAAAAACACACTTACAAATGCAGAACAGTGACACTATAAAGCAACCACACAAACAAGTCTGCATAATGACCAGCTAAGAACATGATGACAGGATCAAATCCATACATATCAATCTCATCTTGAGTTTGAAGTTGCTAAATGCCCCAATTAAAAGCCACAGAGTAGCAAGCTGGATAAAGAAGCAAGATTCACTAGTATGCTGTCTTCAAGTCACCCATTGCATATATTATACAATGATACCCATAGGCTCAAAATTTAAAAAGTTAAAAAAATCTACAAAGCACATGGAAAACAGAAAATATCAGGGGTTGCAATACTAATTTCATACCAAACAGACTTCAAACCAACAAGATAAAAAAAAAAAAACACATTATACAATGGTAAATGGTTCAATTCAACAAGAAGACCTAACTATCCTAAATGTTTACACATCCAACACAGGTGCACTCAGATACATAAAATAAGTTCTTAGAGACCTATAAAGAGACTTAGATTCCCATACAATAGTAGTGGGAGACTTCAGCACCCCACTAACAGTATTAGACAGTTTGTCAATGCAGAAAAGCAAAAACTAGATGAGACTACCAAGAAAGTAAGGACCTAAACTCAAAACTTGACCAAATGGACTTAATAAACATCTACAGAACTCTCCACCCCAAAACAACATAATATCCATTCTTCTCATTATCATATGACACATAATCCAAACTGACCATACAAATGGACATAAAACGATACTCAGCAAATTTTTTCATTTAAAAAATGAAATCATAAACAACCATGCCCTCAGACCACAGCACAATAAAAATAGAAATTAATACTAAGAAAATCACACACTACCATACAATTACATGGAAATTCAACAACCTGCTCCTGAATGGCTTTTGGATAAACATTGAAATTAAGGCAGAAATCAAGAAATTCTTTGAAACTTATGAGAAAAGATACAACATACCAGACTCTCTGAGATACAGCTAATTCAATGTTAAGAGGAACGTTTAAAGCACTAAATGACTGCATCAAAACAAAAATCTCAAATTAACAACTTAACATCACAACTAGAAGAACTAGAGAAGCAAGAGAAAACCAACTCTAAAGCTAGCAGAAGACAAGAAATTACCAAAATTAGAACTGAACTGAAGGAAACTGAGACACAAAAAGCCATAAAGAAGACTGGCAAATCCAGGAGTTGATTTTTTGAAAAAATTAAAAGAAAAATAGACTGCTACCTAGACTAATAAAGACAAAAAAAAAAAAAGAGAGAGAAGATCCAAGTAAACACAATTAGAAATGACAAAGGGAGGCCAGATGCAATGGCTAACACCTGTAATCCCAGCACTTTGGGAGGCAAAAGCAGGTGGATCACTTGAGGCCAGGAGTTTGAGACAAGCCTGGCCAACATGGTAAAACCCTATCTCTACTAAAAATGTAAAAATTCACTGTGCATCGTGGTACATGCCTGTAATCCCAGCTACTTAGGATGCTGAAGCAGGAGAATCACTTGAACCCTAGAGGTGGAGGTTGCAGTGAGCCAAGATTGTACCACTGTACTCCAGCTGGGGGAACAGATCTGTTTCAAAATAAATTTTTTTAAAAATGACAATGGAGACATTACCTTTGACCCTACAGAAATACAAAAACTATTAGACACTACTATAAACACCTCTATGCATACAAACTAGAAAATTTAGAAGAAATGAACATATTCCTAAACACATACAACCTCCCAAGACTAAATGAGGAAGAAACTGAATCCCCAAAGAGACCATACTGCGTTCTGTAATTGTATAAGAAAAAAACCTACCAACCAAAAAAAGCCCAGGGCCAGACAGTCTCACAGCTGAGTTATGCCAGATGTATAAAGAAGAGCTGGTGCCATTCCTACTGAGACTATTTCAAAAAATTGAGGAGGACAGACATCCCTAACTCATTCTAGGAGACCAGCATCATCCTGAAACCAAAATGTGACAGAAACAAAATCAAAAAAGAAAATTTCAGGCCAATATCCACAATGATCACAGATGTGGAAATCCTCAACAAAATATTGGAAAACCAAATTCAGACCATCCTGGTCAACATGGTGAGACCCCATCTCTACTAAAAATACAAAAAAATTAGCTGGGCACGGTGGCGCATGCCTGTAATCCCAGCTACTCAGGAGGCTGAGGCAGGAGAATTGCCTGAACCCAGGAGGCAGAGGTTGCGGTGAGCCGAGATCGCGCCATTGCACTCCAGCCTGGGTAACAACAGTGAAACTTCATCTCAAAAAAAAAAAAAAAAAAAGAAAAGAAAACCAAATTCAGCACCACAACAAAAAGCTAATCTATCATGATAAAGGATGTTTTATCCCTGGGATGCAAGTTTGGTTCAAGGTACACAAATCAATAAATGTGACTGATTACATAAACAGAACTAAAAATAAAGAAAACCACATTATTATCTCAATAGATGCAGAAAAAGCTTTTAATAAAATTCAACATCCCTTCATGTTAAAAACCCTCAATAAACTAGGAATTGAAAAAACATACTTCAAAGTAATAAGAGCCATCTATAAAAATCCCACAGCCTACATCAGACTGAATAAGCAAAAGCTGGAAACAATCCCCTTGAAAAACGGAAGGCAAGTGTACCCTCTCTTACTGCTCCTACTCAACATACTATTAAAAGTCCTTGCCAGAGCAACCAGGAAAGAGAAAAAAATAAAAGGCATCTAAATAGGAATCCAGGAAGTCAAATTACCCTTGCTTGCAGATGACATAATTCTTCATCTAGAAAACCTCATACATAGTCTCTGCTCAAAAGTTCTTTGATCTGATAAACAACTTCAGCAAAGTTTCAGGATACAAAATTAACATATAAATATTAGTAGTTTTCCTATACACCAACAACATCCAAGCCAAGAGTCAAATCAAGAATGCAATCCCATTAATAACTACCACAAAAAGAATTATATACCTAGGAATACAGCTAATCAGAGAGGCAAATGATGTCTACAATGAGAATTACAAAACCCTGCCTAAAGAAACCAGAAATGATGCAAACAAATGGAAAAATATTCCATGCTCATGGACAGGAAGAATGAACATCATTAAAATGACAATGCTAGTCAAAGAAATTCACAGATTTAATACTATTTCTATCAAACTACCAATGACATTCTTCACAGAATTAGAAAAAAGCTATTTTAAAATTGACATGGAACCTAAAAGGAGCCCAAATTGCCAAGGCAATGTTAAGCAAAAAGAACAAAGAAGGAGGCATCATGTTACCCAACTTCAAACTATACTACAGGGCTATAGTAACCAAAAAAGAATGGTACTGGCACAAAAAAAAAAAAAGACACATAGGCCAATGAAACAGAATAGAGAGTCTAGAAATAATGTCTCACACCTAAAACCATCTGATCTTTGACAAAGGTCACAAAAATAAGAAATGGGGAAAGGACTCTCCATTCAACAAATGATGCTGAGATAACTGGCTTGCCATATGTAGAAAATGGAAACTGAACCCCTACCTTATACCACATACAAAAATCAACTCAAAATGAATTAAAGCCTTCATTGTAAAACCTAAAACTATAAAAACCCTGGAAGATAACCTAGGAAATACCATTCTGGACATAGGACATGACAAAGATGCCAAAAGCCAACTGCAACAACAACAACAAAAAATTGACAAAAAGGATTTAATTAAACTAAAGAGCTTTTGCACAGCCAAAGAAACTACCACCAGAGTAAACAGACAACCTACAGAATGAGAGAAAATATTGAACCTGGGAAACAGAGGCTGCAATGAGCCAAGATCATGCCATTGCACTCCAGCCTGGGTGACACAGAGAGACTCTGTCTCAAACAAACAACAAACAAAAAACAATTCCATCAGAAAAACTTAGTGGCCATAGAAGGAAAGTAGAGTAGTTACAAGCGTCAGGGAAACATAATATTCCCCACTTCTTCAGCAAGGTTACCATTCACTGCTTTACACTGTGTTGTCTTCTGAATCCATTTTCCAGAACCTACTTTAAGGTTCATCACATAGTAGAGTCTCAGTACAGTTTAGTTAGACTGAATTGAGCAGGGCTTTCGTAGCAATGGCATTGCATTTTCTCCACAATTGATGAGTTAGAAAGAACCATTACACATGCCTGTTCTGCTAGAAGCAGAAGTGTGTAACCCAGGTCATGTCCTTGCTCTCTCCACCTATGAGATAGCTTTCTGCACATTCACAGAGACCACCAGTGAAGGCAATGATCTCTAAGCTTGGCTTCAGTTGTGTGATACTTTGATGAGACACAGCCTCCTTCTGTTTAGTGAGGTCAGTAGCTGTCTTACTTTTCATATGAATAATATCTATTTTAGACACACATAGAGAAAGTTTAACTTGCTCTTTGTTCACGTCATCTTCTTAGTTACTTAATGGTTCATTCTAAGCTTTCTCTCATCTCATGAGTCCTGATAAAATAATTCCAAATTATCCATTGAGCATCAAATTGCACTGCTCATCTTGTCATACTGTGTTTAATGTGTCATTCTATGCTGCCACTCCAAAACCAGATTAGAATATGGTATGTCCATGTTTTCAAAAAAATGTACTCACTGCTACTTGGTGGCAAAAATAATCCATTGATATTTCGAGGTTTGCTGTGATAAAAGATACAACTGATCTTCACACAACCAAGAGGTTGGGTTTCCCAGAAGCAGGAAATGCTGCAGTTTTGCTAGATAAAAGGAGATGGGGAGAAATGTAGTGATTAGATGCCATATTCACAACAAATACAATGTGCTGCAATACAGACCAACGAGACAAAACGATTACAGTTAACTGATTTAGGATCATGTGTGTTTTCCAGCATTTCTAAGCCCTGCTATTCAAAAGATGCAATGGGTATTTCTAAGACATTTTCCTCCATTAAGTTGAAAAAAATCGCAAAATGCCTAAAATCAAATAGTAGAAGGAAGATTTCTTCCCTATTGTTTTGTAAAAGTATAATTCAGCATTATTGAAGGGAAAAAAATGCTTTTTAACAAAAATGATGATAAGTAATTCTACCTGCATTTCCATGTGTCTAAATCTGCAAAGTGGATCTAAACATTTCCTCTCTCTCCATAATGAGCACACAGTGTCACTGCCAAGGGCCTCTTCACAGTGTCGAAATTGGCACTGGGAACCCTAAAAGAAAAAGTAAACAGTGTAGAAAACTCAATTTGTTGACATTAGTTTTCAACAATAATAGGCTGCTAATCAGTAAAATAAAATATGAGTAGATTAAATTAGAATCACAAAGATATACTCTACAAATATTAGACCATAAGTCTAAATTTCAGCAAATTAGTCTAACTTTAGTGAGAAAGCAACAAGATAATCTAATGATTAAATAGTATAACATGCCGCAAATGACTGATAAAATGCTACCTTTTGTTATCCGTTAATCCATATGGTCCACTAGGAATAGAGATGTAAGACTCCAGTGGCACTTTGATCACAATCCAATGACAGAACAACTTAATTTCTCTTTCTGAGGAAAGCCAGATGAAATTTTTAAGAATTTCTAGCTATATTCTAATTGTGAAAACGATTTCTATGAATCAATCCTTTTATTAGATAATCTGTTTTCTCAGTCTATGGAGATACTGTTAGGTTTTGATGGAGCTTAAAAGGTATGTTACTGTAGAATTTTAATTATTATGTTTTGATGTACTATATTAAATATATGTGTTTTGTGCCTTTGGCTTAGAAAGATAAACAATTGCCTATACTCACTGACTTATTTATATGCCAACAAAAGTAGATGTGGATTGTTTCAATAGCCTGCTATTCTTAAAAATTCTACGTTCTTTTACACATAAATGCACACTTGGTAAAACTATAAGCCCCTCTTGTGTGGGCAGAGAGGATAACATTCTTCCCTCTTTTGACACATGTTCCATGGTTGTTATCTTTTATCTCTCTCCTACTTCCATCATCATTCTCTTCCCCTTGTTAAAGTAGATCCATGTACTCTCATAGCATGGGTTAGTGGGCAGGGGCTTTCAAGTCAATGAATTGGTGTTTGAACCTCTGGCTCTACTACTTGCCCATCATCACAAAGTTAATACTTAACTCATACTCTCTGTGCTTTAGTTTACTCATACGTAAACAGAAAATAAAAAAATACTTTCCTCACAAGTTAGCTGTAAAAATGACATGAGATAAAGTGTTGTGAGCTATTACTTTTTTTATTTATTCATTTAATTAATTACTGATAACTTACTACTCATTAGTCACTGTGCTAAATACTTGGGGATACAGCAATAAAATAGACAAGACACTCTGCCCACCTGGACATGGATTCTGTTGTTATTCTTTAACATCCTAGCATTTAATCTAACAGGTAACAGAAGTGAATCTAATTCCTGTGGTCAGAAAGGTTGACTCTATTCAGGTTTCCTAACAGAGAAGAAACATTTAAAACCAGATATGTCATCTTTTTTCACTGGATTCTTTCTGGCATGAGCACAAAGCTTCAAATACTGAGTTTTTACCTTTATCTGGTTTTATTAAGATCCATTCATCCTAATTCCTTGGGGGAATTATCAGTTTTTCCCATTTAATTTTATAAACTTTAATTTATATGCGGCCAATTGGCTTGTATTGATTTTCTTTTCTTTTCTTTTTTATGATATTTAAACATTTGTTGTTACTTAGACTTTTGACAAATGAAAACTTAGTAAGGGGGTTAAAAAATTTCAAATAAGGAACCAGATTTATTACACTAACTTTGACAGCTACCTGAATTCAACTATTTGAATTTATAATTACTGGAATCATATTAACTAAAACAAAATCTTATATCATATAATGTTTCAATATTAGGAATTTAATGTCTCAAGGTGCCATTATATAGGCAAAAGTGCCACATTAATATTCCAAAGATATAGACATGTAACTGACATATATGAGGGTAGTTTCAAGCGAATAATAGTTTTAAATTATCTCAGACTTCTTCAGATAAATTCGGTATGTCAAAAATACATGATAGGCTTTTTTTACTCCATATTTTAAGTATGTAAGATATCTACCAAGAAAATAGTAAATTTTGATTCAGCAATGCAAGTTACTGCCATATCTTCCTTCATTCTACTAAAAAGATTAAGCATGTGAAGTACTATAAATAGTACAATATTTACCTTTATGCATGTGGAATTAAAAAAGAAATAGCAGTCATTCCCAACTTCTGTCATTTTCAACTCTCTTGCTGCTAATCCAATTTTTTTGAAAAATATATACGTATAAGAATTCCAGAAATGCAAACATAAGAACTATCAGTGTGTAAGAGAGAAAAAGAATATCTTTTTCACAGTCTTTCAGGCTATCAGTAGTATTCCTTTAAAACTGACCTCCTGTCGACGGTATATTACACAATAGATAATTCTTAAAGAAATTTAAATTAGAAGATACCTTCTCTAGCTTTGCAGAAATGTTGAAAGTGGTTGCTAGTAAGCGCACAAACTCAAACTTCCAGAATTTTCCTCGTCGTTACCTAATCCATTGTTTGCTCATCATAAATGACCTCACATGGAACTGCAGGCTAGTTTACCTGAGTGAACACTGTATTTCCCTTACTCATTAACTAAAAAGGACTAGCAAAAATAAAATAGCATATTTTAATCTTTAAATGTTCTGATTTAATATGGACTATAAACCAGTTTATACGTTTATAATAGAAAGTAATAACTTTCGCAAGTAAACAACTATTTCTAAACCTTAAATTCTATAGAAGGTTTGGAAATAACACTAAAAATTTGACATAGGTAAATGAGCTATCCATATTCTAAGACAATAAAAACAATTATTTAAATATGTATCTCTGCTATCCATTGATTTGGGAAAAATCATATTCAGATTATGATATATTAATAGGTACTTGAAAATAAATTAGGCTACATAGTCATCTTGTAGCTATATTCCATTTATTTTTTCACCCACCATAAAAAGAGTAATATCTTCTTCCTATAGCAGAAAGGTTTCAGAGTGCTTGAAGGTTTTGAGAATTTGTTGAAAATAAGTGAAGTACTCTGATTCCCAGAATGAAACATTTCAATCAGCAGTTATTGATATCTTCCTCTTGGTGTCTTTAATCAACAAATTAAAACCTAGCAGAAATTAATTTTAAAATCATAAATGTATTAGTTCGTTTTCATGCTGCTTATAAAAACATACCTGAGACTGAGAGAAAAAAGAGGTTTAAATGAACTTACAGTTCCACATGGCTGGAGAGGCCTCAAAATCATGGCAGAATGTCTCATGAGACTTATTCACTATCACAAGAATGGCATGGGAAAGACCTGTCCCCATGATTCAATTACCTCACCCTGGCTCCCTCCCACAACACATGGCAATTTTAGGAGATACAATTCAAGTTGAGATTTGGGTAGTGGCACAGCCAACTATATCATTCTGCCACTGGCCCCTCCAAATCTCATGTCTTGACATTTCAAAACCAATCATGCCGTCCCAGTAGTTCCAAAAGTCTTAATTCATCTCAGCATTAATCCAGAAGTCCACAGTCCAAAGTCTCACCTGAGACAAGGCAAATCCCTTCCACCTATGAGCCTATAAAATCCAAAGCAAGCTAGTTACTTGCTAGAAACAATAGGGATACAAGTATTGGGCAAATGCAGCAACTCCAAGTTGGAGAAATTGGCCAAAACAAAGGGGTTACAGGCCCCATGCATGTCCAAAATCCAGCAGGGCAGTCAAATTTTAAAGCTCAAAAATGATCTCCTTTGACTTCAGGTTTCATATCCAGGCCATGTGGATGGAAAAGATGGGTTCCCATGGTCTTGGACAGCTCCACCTCTGTGGCTTTACAGGGTACAGCCTTCCTCCTGGCTTCCACAGGCTGGCATTGAAAGTGTGCAGCTTTTCCAGGTGTATGTTGCAAGCTGTCAGTGGATCTGCCATTCTGGGGACTGGAGGATGGTGGCCTTCTTCTCACAGCTCCACTAGGCAGTGCCCCAGGAGGGACTCTGTGTGGGGGCTTTAACTCCACATTTCCCTTCTGCACTGCCCTAGCAGAAGTTCTCCATGAGGGCCTCATCCCTGCAGCAAACTTTTGCCTGGGCATCCAGGTGTTTCCATATATCTTCTGAAATCTAGCTGGAGGTTCCCAGACTCAATTCTTGCCTTGTGTGGTCCTACAGGCTCAATACCACTTGGAAGCTGGCAAGGCTTTGGGCTTCCACCCTCTGAAGTCACAGTGCGAGCTCTATGTTGGCCCCTTTCAGTCATGGCTAGAGCTGCTGGGACACAGGGCACCAAGTCCCTAGGCTACCCACAGCACGGGGACCCTGAGTCCAGCCCACGAAACCACTCTTTCCTCCTGGGCATCTGGGCCTGTGATGGGAGGGTCTGCCTTGAAAGTCTCTGACATACCCTGGAGACATTTCCCCATGGTGTTGGGGATTAACATTAGGCTCCTGGCTACTTATGCAAATTTCTGCAGCTGGCTTAAATTTCTCCTCAAATTCTTTTCTACTGACAATGCAGTAGAAAAGAAAAACTTTTTTTTCTTCTCCTGAAATTTCTTCTTCTACTTCAATTCTATTCTTTCCTGTTGTAAATGTCTTTCTAGTCTTAAAAAAAAAAAAGCTATTACAGCCAGGCTTGGTGGCTCACACCTGTAATCTCAGCACTTTGGGAGGCCGAGGCAGGTGGATCACAAGGTCAGGAGTTCAAGAACAGCCTGACCAACATGGTAAAACCCTGTCTCTACTAAAAAAAAATGCAAAAAATAATTGGGCTTGGTGGCATACACCTGTAATCTCAGCTACTCAGGAAGCTGAGGCAGGAAAATCGCTTGAACCTGGGAGGCGGAGGTTGCAGTGAGCAGAGATCACACCACTGCACTCCAGCCTGGCAACAGAGAAAGACTGTCTCAAAAAAAAAAAAAAAAGCTATTACTACCCTGTGAGGATGATTCCTCCTTGTAATGAAGAGTGATGGGAAATTTGTCTCCATGGCTGGGAGTAGGCCTGAAAATTCTGTAAGTATTTTGCGTTGGCCAAAGCAGGCTAACTCTTGAGTGTCTTTCATCTTTGGTGCATGCTAGAGCACTAACATATCAGTCAGAGAAGAAAGATTTTCTTTGATTTTGTAATCCTGTGACACCACTTTTAGTACAGTGGCTGGTCGCAACTCCTTGGTAACTCTTCAGAATTATGAGAATTGGGCAAAGTTGATGGCTGCTATCCATCAGAGCATGAGTCCAGTTTATAACTGTGAATTGATCTTGTGGCTCTCCTCCGATGTGGACTTGTGTTTCCGCCAGAAGCTTTGCTCCAGCTACTGAGTAAGCCAAAGTTTTGGAAATAGAAAGTGCTTGCTAAGAGATGACTAGATTTGCTACTACTATTCAAATAAGTGGAGAGTGGTTTTAGAAGATCAGTATTTCCCAGAAATGACAGAATGTAGGACCTAAAATGTTCTGTGGCAGTTTGGGAGGTGACAGTTAATAGCTGTGAAAGTTTTTGTCTCTTTGAAACTCATGAAACAAGCCACTTTTCTGAATGCCTCTGAAGGAACAAAGAAGTCACTGGCACCTGACTGCAAAATGCTAAAACGTTTCCGGTTCCAACATTACATAGCCAGCATCAAGTGTTTTCTTTTTTGGTAAATCTGGGATGTGATGTGGGAGAGCTTTTTGTGTTTTCCTATGAGAAAAAGAAAGCAGAAAAGGAAGTAAACACTTTGTAATGGCAAATCTCTTCCATCCTCCCTCCCCTCTGAATCCAGCAATCAAAACACTGAATTTGTACATTTTAATTTTTTCATTGTCACTATTCAGCATAACTGTGAACTTTTTAAAGGAGCTGTTTTATTTATTGGGAACCCCCTTACTATTTAGATACCGCTAAGTGAGATATAATTGCTTAATTTTTCCAAGGGCTTAGTCAGTAATATGCTGGACAGTTGAATACATGCAGATAAGACAAAGAAATGAGACCTGGGCCTAGTCCAAGCCCAAAAAGGATGGAAGTAAAATCAGAATTCCCCTACAACTTCAGACTAGGAACTATTAAATGCAATGAGATGGAAAGGCTACTATTCCTAAATATTTAGTATTTATTTGATTTAGTCATTATCCATCTTATCACTTACCCTCAAAATATTCTTTTGAGCAGTAAGTTAAAGCTGTTTTTAGCTCACAGTTGATAGACTACGAGTACTCAAGCCATTTCAGCTGTTGGACCTCACCTTTAATTAAAATAAAAAAGATTCCTATGAAAAACTTGAGAATGAAATCCTGGTTGTAGCTATTCCTGTGATTCTGGATTAGTCTAAGACTGAAACTTTGCATTCACTCTGGAAAGAATATCAGAACCACTTCGACCATGTTATGCTGCACAATAAGGCGTAGTTCAAAAGGTAACTTTTTTTGATCCCAGGTATTTTATTATAGCGTTTTCTGACAGTCTACTGGAAAAGCAGTTTTCATTCTGCTTGGGGATCTGGGTATGTCTCTAAATATTTCTAAACTTCTATAGTGCTTCCCGCATTAACTAAAGATAACAGGTAAGTAGGTTTCATTGGAACTGCGTTAAATAGACATCTGAAATGTTCATTGCTTATTATCTGTTCTTATTTAACTTCCAAATAAATAATCGGTTAAAACTGAGGTGGGGGCGGGGGACGCACGTGGGAACGCACCAGGAACACATCAGCTTCTGCACTACAACTCCCAGAAGGCGCCGCGGCCAGGAAGCCGCTTCTGGATAGGCGTTCCCGCCCCTAGCTGGGGCTTGGCATAGTGGGGGAGCCGCGGCGGTGGCTGGGCGCGGAGTGTGAGTTGTCTGAGCGCCGCGTGTGACTGCTTCAGGGCTTCTCCCCGCCTGGACCGGACGCCGTTCAAAAGCGCACCCTCCGCTCGCACTGCTTGTTGGGCTCATCATGAAGCGCTTGGGCTCCGTGCAGCGGAAGATGCCGTGTGTGTTTGTGACGGAGGTGAAACAGGAGCCTTCCGCCAAAAGGGAGCATCAGGTAAGGAGCAGCGCCGGGCAGGCTGGGCGGCCAGCGTGGGCTTCTCCCCGCGGCGCTGGCTCAGTGCGAACTCGGCGAGGGCGGCTGGGCGCGTTAGAACTGCACTGCAGGCCTGGAGCCTCTGGAGGTTTCGTTGGGGAAGTCTGGGTTGGAAGTCTTAGACGCCCTGAGTACAAGTCCAGGTTCTTGTACTTTTCTTAGTTGTAAGACAGGGCATTTGCGAGAGAATTTTCCTGATCAGGAGATTCAAACTTGCCCTCGCAGGGAAATGGAAAAACCACAGGTCATCACCTGTGGGTTTCAGGTCAGCACCTTTTGGGGAAACCTTCTAATCAGATAATTGCCACAGTCCAAACTTTACTACTTTTCAAAAGTGCAGTGAGAAAGGGGGGATATTATAGGACTTGCTTTACCTGTTATGTCGGAACCATTGGCGGTGTTGACAGTAGCCTAATCAAGTCACAGAAGATCAGACCTCATGTTACCAGTAATTACTTAATTTATTCTAACTTTGGTGTTCCCATCTCAAGGTTTTCTATTGCAGCAACGTGTTTTCTATATAATGTGCCCTCGATAAATGCTAGTGAGTGAATAATAAGTAACCTATATGAAGGCAGTTCTTTCATCTTGTACTATAAAACAAGATGTACTATAAAACAATTCTTTCATCTTGTAGTCTTTGATCAGT